CAATATAGGTTTTATGCAAAATTAAATACTGATATTTATAAAAATTAAAAAACAAAATTTATTTATTAAATATATATATTATACTTAAATATAAATATAAAATTTTTTTTTTGTAACTTAAAGATCTACCTATATAAAATAGCATTACTTTTTATATGTTGTAATAAAATTTTAATATTTTTGTTATCTTATTAACTTTATTTTTATCAATATATTATATTATTTTTGAAAATTAAAAATATTAAATTTTGATTATTACTTGAAAATTACTTGTATATTATAATTACAATATCTTTATGTAATTAAATAACAATTGATTTTTAGATGGCTGAATATTATTTAATATTTAATATAAGTTTTGAAATGTTTTTTATTATAATTATAAGTAGTATTAAAAGCATAAATTAGTTATCATTTTTAAGTTTTATATTTAATTCTTGGCAAAAAAATATATAGTATATTTTATTTTAATATTATAATTTTACTTTTAACCAACTCAAAAATTTTAATAAAAGTAAAGATATAATAATTGTTTTATTTTTTCAAATTATTTATTAGATTAATAAAAAGAATTTTTTAATTTTTAAATATATTTATATAAAAGTTAAAATAATAAAATAACAAGAATAATCAAAGAAAATCTTCAAGATATTAAATCCTTAAAAATACAAGTTTTAATTAACATAATTTTAATTTGGGTATATACTTAAAAGTACATTAAAAATACGAAAAATTTAATGGAAGATTTGAAGTTGGGCTAAAATATATAATAGAATATTATTTTATGCATTAATAATTTTATTTTTAAAATTAGTTTACTATGAAAAGTTGCGTTACCTTTTCATTACATAACTTGTATCGGATATGCAGCATATTTTGTATAGGGATAAGTGACTATAAGTTTGTATTTCTTTTCCATAAAGCATGAGTATAACAAAGACAAATACATAAAACCATGCCAAGAACGTATAATCCTTTTAATAATGATTTTTTATTTTAATTTATCTAGTTGCGCATCAATACCGTGACATAATGTGTACTGTATCATTTTGCGATCTACGTTAGCTTTGGTGTTTTTCTGACTTAACTAACATAAATACTTCATAATCAGTAATAGAAAAATACCCTCCCGCTAATTTAATTCCCTTTTCGTAAGTGCCAAGGGAGCGATAATAGCTTAGATCGTCCTGAGTAAAATCGGATTTTTTTGTACGCATGTATAGTTCTCCTCCATATCCAAAGAATATGCCATACTGATTTTGTTGATAAGGACTTAGATTGCTTAAAGCATATTTCGCATTCTTTACTCGACTAACAATCGAATTTTGAATATTTCCGTTTTTTAATGAAAAAATAAAACTATCATTTGCAGCTACCCAAGTTCCTTTAGTTGTTTTATCCCACACTAAGGGATTATATCCACCAAGAATTTCACCTGTTCCTGATACTTTCAAAATCGTAACCGTGTTTGCACAGTTATGACACATATCCCAAAAAGTTTGAGGGCTAAATCCATCACGACTTCCTCTTAAAATTAATTGAAACTCATAAGGAACATCCCTTAATGAATAGGTAGCAGTTCTTCGATCAACCCATGTCGAAATCTCGCGGCATGATCGTGGTTAATGATCGCTGAAAAAGGTTCTGTTGTTCTCTCTGGTAGATCCGGGACTATTGTTAACCTTGCAGGCAAAATAACAGAAGTGACAGGTTCGTCAGGAAATATTAAACGTTTATTGAGATCTTTCCAGAGTTGTTTATCAAGAACTTTCTTATAAGGCTCGACATGTTTCCATAAATCTGCCTGAGATAACTGAAAATAGCGGATGTATGGCAAACAATTTTGTAGGGTCGACTTTAAGTTTTGAAAGTCTTCTTTAGTCCATTCTTCTGGTCGAGGCGATAAAGTCTTATGCTTAGCAACACCCCATCGAATAACTTTTTTCCAAATTTCTATTTCATCCATTTTTAGATCTTCTCTCTTAAGAAGAGAAACCAAAGCCGTTTCTTTAAGAGAAATAAAGTTTTCGGTATCGAATATAAGGCTTGGATATTTTACTATAATATCGTTACAAAATTTTTCTAAACTTTCAAAACTCTGGTTTTTAAAGATGGAATGATAGACAAATGAGAAATGTGTACGTAACCAATAAGCTTTGTTTTCAATAAGATAAATCTCCAATTGTTGAGATAATTCTTCAAATTTAAGCTCATTAGCAATCATCATTAGATCAAATTTAAATTTATTGTCCTTATCTTCCAAGTTAACAATTCCTCCGTATACATATCTGCAAAAAAAGTATTAATAATTAACTTACAGTATATGTCATTTCAAGTAAAAAAGGTTATAGTACCTAAGAATTACTTCGACAAATTCAGCAGAAACATCAAGCTTTATAATAGACATATGACCCTCAACCATAATGGCCTTGGCCATCTCTTCACGAAAGTAGGATGATCGAAATCGTAAAATCGCCGAGTGTGAAGTAAATATTTTCTTATCTCCCTCTTTGCCCACTTCAATAGTAACATCGTGACCTTCTTTATCATTGAGCAAATCGGTAAAATCTTTGGACAATTTATCAAAAAATTTAAGACTCATTTTTAATGATGTATTAAAATACGTATTGTGTGGAATGATGGATTTCTGGATTTACAGATATTTCTTTGTATGTAATAGGTAGTACAAAATCTGTAAAAAGCAATTGATATTTAAAATTTAGAAATAAAGGTGCATATTGTATCTAAAGTATTACTGTATATTATTGATTTATACACAGTCAAAGTCGATATAACGGACTCTCGATATAATGGACACTAAGTAAAATCTCAATATACCGGATTGACGTTAAGAACTGGTTATAGTATTTTATCCGCTATACTGAATTTCTTCGTTATAATGGATTTTTGAAAATTTTTATTAATGGAACCGACTAGTCCATTATATACCATATATACATATTATTGCAATAATAAATGATTTATTTGATTTAAATTTCAAATTATTTTGTTATTTTGTTATTATTTATTATATTAAATGTTATACTATATATAAAATATATGCAATATACTGTATATAATTAATAAATATTATATAAAGTATACAATATATTATATAATTAAATATTTTTGCTAAGTATAATCTATTTTTAAAAATAAATTAAATAAATTAACTATATTTAATCAAATTAATATAATACTCTATATTGTTCATTATTTATATTTTATTTGTTTTATATTTAATTATAAAAATAAAACGATTGTTTATTTAGTTAATTGAAAACTTTATTAAAAATATTTTAAATATAATATTAAATATACTGATTATATAGTATAACTTTTTAAATATATTTTTAACAAATTGTCTTATTTATTGATGACAATATATTGTGATTTAAATATTTTTTGTAACTTAAATAATTTTTTTAATATTATTGTTTATGTATATTTATTTGATTTAAAGATTTATTGGTTAGATAATAATATATTTGTTTAATTTGTACTAAATTAATTTTTTTTATATAATAGAATTAGATAATTAATAATCAATCTTTTTTTTTATTACTACAAATATTTATTATTTATACGTTGCTTTTGGTTTTTATTTATTTGATATTTTTAGATTTTTATATTTGGTCTTCATAATAGATTATTTGTCAATTTTATTTTAAATAATATAAAAAATTCATATAAATTGCAAAAAAATTTTGTTTAAATAAAAAATCTTGTATCCGATATTAATTTATCGTAACAAAAAGAATTAAAAACCAACTATTATAATTATAAATACAAATATGGATTTATATTTTATATTGAATCTATTGAATTAGGAAAATTAAAAATATTTTTCAATATTTTCATTTTTATCATTAAGTTTTGTTACTAATTTGATTTGAGTTTTCAAGTAAGTGCTTAAGTATTTTACTTACGGTAAAGTCTTCATTAATAAACTTTTCCCCTAAACTTTATTATTTTTCCAAGTAACTAGTTTATTTATCAGGTAAGTTTATATTCACCAGAACATGTGTTATTAATATGGCAATTGTTTGTTATCTAAATCATCATTAAACAATACATTAAAATAAACATACAGTATATACACTTTCTAAGTTTATATTTGAAAAAATTATAAGAACAGCTTATAAATATTTTTTTTTTTCGTGGTAGGATTTCTGTAAATAAAGAATTATGAGACTTTGAATCTATAAATAACAAATTTTCCGTGCTGTAAATTGTCGCAGTATTCACCAAAACCATTACTTTTCAGAGTTTATTTAATTCCTTGTTGAAATTTGCATTACTGTTGTTGTAGTGTTAGGTGAGCGCAGATGCGCGATGCAGCATCACATCACGTAATTACGTAGTCTCTATAGGAAAAAAGATGCGGACAAATTAGCTGAGAAAGAAAGACGTATGTAGATAAGTGGAGCAAGACTGTTGGTAATTTTAGCATATAAATAGTGAGGAAGTAAAAATCGAATTAAAAATATTAGTTTTTATTTTAGAATTAATGTTTAGTTTTGGATCCTTAAGTTAATGGAAAAACCGTTGAAAGTATAAATTTTATTGTAGTTTCATTGGATCTTTTACACTTAACTTGAATAAAGTTACTAAACAAGGAACAGTAATTTGCCTAGAATATTGAAACTTTTAGCAAGAAGATAAAGGTTCAAGAAATAGAAGGGTACAAGTTGGCAATTATTAAGTACCAGCCACAATGAAATTACTTCAGGGGTTGAGATATTTAATGTAAAAAATTTCCTAGGTTAGCGACAAATCGCTGTTACGACGATGATACTGCACCTACTATACATAAAAACTATCTAATAGACTTGTAATTTATTGGTTACCGAAATTGTAAAGTTTTCCAATTACTATATTTAATATTTGGATCATAGAAGCATTGTATTGTCGTCGATTATAGGAATATTTATATATAGAATCATGATTACAAATCTAAATACTATCAGTAATTGAAAGTGACAACTTATATCATTTTTTTAATCTGATCGTAAAATCCTAAATTTTCCCGGAGTGATGATTGAAGCAACAAAATAAAGTTTTGATGGGAGATTAGTCCATGATGCAACTGGTGGATATCTTGTACCGTTGACTGAAAAAGCGACTGTCTTGTCATCCATGTTTAGGT